CCTCCAATAAACCCACTTGTGTACTTGTGGACATATATCAACTCTGAACAGTAATCAATCATCACCTTCTTTGCCTTGTGTTGCTCTTTGAAAACTGTTACTACAAACATATCATGAACAGTCATGATTAGATGAGCTCATAAGTCACTTTCAGCATTATACATATCATTGGGGATACAACCAGTATTTCTGATTCCTCTACTTTGCACCTCCAATAAACCCACTTGTATACTTGTGGAAATATATCAACTTTGAATAGTAATCAATAATCACCTCCTTTGCCTTATGTTGCTCTTTGAAAACTGTTACTACAAACTTATCATGAACATTTAGGTTCAACAACGCAACTTTTCCTTAGCAGTCAGTTCTACTATCTACTCTTTTACCTTTCCAATTGAGTTTGGGATTAACATCCACCTTCCTTTTGCCTTGTTTGCAACAAAAAAAATTCCTTCCTTACCAACCCCTCACCACCACTGCCCTTTTTATCACTAAGTTCCCGAATACCACCCTCAACTACTATTGTATAAATATTGTAAAAACATAGCCTTCATCAAACGAATCAAACTCCATATTCACTTTCAGTTTCAACTTATCTCCTATATTTGTTACCACAAATTTAGCCCTCGCTGCACCAATTTCATCTCGTGCATCTAAATACTCAAGTTCCTCTATATTTTCATTTACTTCTTTGTTATCCCCCACCGAAATCCAAATCAATAACTTGTTGCTTCAAAGTCACACAAATATAACCTAGTTTATCACAATCCAACACGAGTTTCACCAATATTTACATAAAATATCAGTTTCGAACCAAATGACCCAAGTTATAACAACTAGCATGATTGATTAGATTTCACGAAACCAAAAATAGCATAGAAACTTACACGAAATCGAATTTCACAACCCAGAACTTTGAAATAAATCTCAAAGAGAGAAAGAAAGAATAGAGGTTGATGCTAAAACCTGAAGCAATGCATCACCACGAACCACCATGCTCCACATCTGGACAACAATAGCGATGACGACGACGACGACAAAGGTTTCTGGACAAGGGTCTGGGCTCCTTCACTGTGAATTTTGATAGGTGTTGGTGATTTGGAAGAACCAAAATTATTTGAGCAGATGAAGATGTACATCACTACCAAAACTTGATAGGATGTCTGTGAAGTGGAACCAAACTCGTGAATTACCGACAGTTTCTGACACGACACTAAAACGACACGAAGATAATGGGTTTCGGGTCAACATGATAACTAATCGGATCATTATTGAGTGACCCGTTAATAACAGGTTCTTAACGGGTATACACGTGAGTAACTCGTTTCAACCCATTAAGAAAAAAATTATTTTGATAATTTTAAAGTTTAATTACTAAAAGATTTATTATAAAATGCAATAGCCATATTAATATATACAATATATTCTATATTAAATATATAGTTTTGTATTATTATTCTATATAAGTTAAAATAAAAAAAGTTTTAGTCATTATTTATTTTTATTATGAGAGTTCCTTATTACGATTACTAGGATAAATTTTGCTTAACATATGGTCCAAAATTAAAATAAACTAGTATAGTATTTGTATAGGCAAGAACTAAGAAGAGATACATACAAGTATGAAAAATGTGAAGGAATATATAAACACTCGTGATTCATCATTTTTCCTCCACGAGTAGATAATGGTTACACTTACATTATCGTTTAGATTTTTAAAATCCTCCAAACCCTCATGAATAATGTTTTTTTTTTATTTGAGGGCAAAATTAATAATAATTATTGTAAAAGTATAAAAAAATGTAAAAAAAAAAAAAATATACAATCACTCATAGTGACAAGCTTTACAACTTTCATGAAGGGCTAAGCTTCAAAATCCAACACTATAATCCATAATCCATAAACCTTAAATTTATATTTAACCATCAATTGTCATTTACGCTTTATTCTTCTTACTTAATTTCATTTTTAAAATTTTCTTTTTTGAAAACATGATCATCTGGCGGATGTAAGAAGATGAACGGTTCAAATCTTTGATATCATGTTTCAATATTTATGGTTAACTGAAATATGAGTCGATGTCATATAGTTTGTAGAAACTTTATAAACATCAAGCAATATTTTCACCAACCGTAAAACTCTGAACATAATATCAACGATCCAAACCTTTCATCTTCTTGCATCCTCTAATAGATCATGTTTTCAAAAAAGAAAATCCGAAAAAATAAAATTTGATGAGAAAAATGAAGCGTAAATGTAAACAACAATCAATGGTTAAATTTTGATCTATGATTTATATGATTATAGTGGTGAATTTTGAAGTTAAGCTCTTCACGAAAATTATAAAGCTTGTCATTACAAGCGTTTATATATTTTTTCTATATTTTTTACACTTCTACATTAATTAAAAAAACTATTAAAGACTTTACTTAAATAACAGCCGTAAGATAAATGAGAGTAAATCTGTACCGTTGGATTCTATTCACTTATATTATTAGAACTTTTTTTGACGAAAAAAACCCTTCTCTATTCCATTGTTTTTTAATTTTACCATTTGATCAAAAACAAAAGCCCTAATCCCTTTCTCTCTCCCCACTCCTATAACCCTCTCTCCTGATCCGGTCGTATGTTTTTCCTAGCCCTTCTCTCCCACAGTATGCTCAATTCTTCCGGTAGCCTCTCTCAGTCTCACTTTTCTTCTCCCTTGTGCAGTGGATGGAATCATCCTTGTCATCTCTAGTCATCTCTACATCTTTGCATCTCTGCATCTCCATTCTCCAGATTCCACTCCAAGTTCGATTTTGTCTCTAAATCTTTGCATCTCCTTTCTCCATCTTTTTAAGTTCTTCATTTTTCCCAATTTGTTATTAATTTTATGTTTTATGTCCGTGTGTTTTTTGTTCAGAGGTTGGTTGGTTGTCTTCTTTTTAATCTTTTAAATTTGTTGCTATCAATCTGTCTAGCTTTTTTGAATCTCTGATTGTGCATCACCTTGGGGTTGATTTTCATACTTTCTCATTACTTTTTTGGGGATATTAAGTTACTATGAATTTCTGTCAACATTTATTCATATTAATTGTTTCGTGGCAGGCATTTACAGTTGGATTGAAGAAACTTGGAATCGTGGAAGTTCAAGGACTTCCCTTCTTCGACACTATGAAGGTTAAGGTTACTGATGCACATGCAATTTCGGATGCTGCTAACAAGCTTGGATTAAATTTGAGAGTAGTAGACTCTAGCACTGTAAGTTTTTTATTTTTATTTTTGTGAGTCTCTTGCATCGTTTATTTCACTAAATGTTCTCTGAGGACGGAGGATGAAGTGCTTTTACTTCATGAGGTTACTAAATTTTAAACTCCTTTCAGATCACTACCTTAGAGGACGTTGACAAGCTTTTCAAAGCTTTTTCTTTGAGCAAGCCAGTAAGTGTTTTATATCTTTACCATAAAGTTGATATTTTCAATTTATTATAATGTTAAACTTGCTACTGTAGAAGAGTTAATTTCTGATAGACTGATGATTATAAAGTTGTTCCTATTATGCATAAAGTCGTGGTAATAATATTGTGAGATGCTCTCTTTAAGGTAACATAAAGTTTGTATTTTCCTTTTTATACATAGTACTTTAAAACTATTAATTTTATATTTGAAATTGGGTTATGCATAATTTTTATTATCTTTCTGCTTTTTTATTTTTTTATGATGTAGGATTTTGATAATAATTACAATGGTCCAAATTTAGTTGAAAAAAGTGAATTACAGAAGTATTTGGATGATAAAAGATTAGATAGAAGACAAGATATAGATGTTCTTTCTTGGTGGCAAATGGAACGTTTTCATTATTCAATACTTTCTCAGTTAGCACGAGATTTGTTAACAATTCCTATTTCAACTGTTGCGTCAGAATCTGCTTTTAATATTGGGGGTAAAGTGCTAGATCGATATCGTACTTCGTTGTTGCTAGACACGGTTCAAGCTTTGTTGTGTACACAAGATTGACTTTTTGGAAAAGGAGGTAGTATATCATTTATATAGTATAGAACTATTTTTTATTTCTTTTCATAATTATTTTTAGTACCCATAATTTGAATGGTTTAGAATATTTGATTTTTCTATGTTTAGTTTATGCAGAAGAGAGTGCTAATGTGGAAAGCCTCACTGAAAACATCATCAATATAACTCTTGAAGACAATATATCAAGCCAAAGTTCCAATACTGTTTTCCATGGTGATTGAAGAAAATTGAAGGGTTTGGTCGATTTTGGGTCTGGTCATTTTACCCGTTTATTTTAACTGGTGTTACACGACACCAACCGTTAAGATATCGGGTATGACACGAAAATAACACAAACATAGAAAACATGTCACGAATGCTAGATCTAGTCTTTAGGACCCAGTTCTATTGATAGACTTGGCTAATCATAGCCATTGGATCTTCGTCTGCACAGATCGTCCACATGAGAGAAATGCTCTTTGTTTCTTTCCTCAAAGAGGCACATAAAAATGGAGACAACTTATGTATGTGCATCTATTCTTTTTCATATTTTGAAAAGAAAAAGAAAAATATTAGTTTTCTTACATCGTACGTGTCCTTCTACAAATATTGTTGCATAACGTACATTGCAAATCCAACTGTGATTATTATTTGGGAGTTTTAACGAAAAACTCACGGTACAGTTCACTTTAACGAAAAACCACATTTTTACACTAAAAAGTCAATTCTGGTACTATTCACTTTACCCTTTATTATGTATTTATCATTAAAATTCAAAATTTTCAAGCCATTTTCATTAGTTTTTCTTTATTTTAAAGTGCAAAAGGTGAAAACCATCCTGTCGAACCGTTAAAAAGTGGATGTATTGAATACATTTTTTGTATGATTCTTGGTCATATTACGTTACATAGTACATGTTAGTCTTATGTTTTGCACATCTGCAAACAGGGGAAAGGCAATAAGTGGTACGCAGCAATGCAAGTTTGGTATATTTCGCTTTACAAGAAAAAAAAAGTAGTGAGCAAGATACCTAGATGGAAGGGGTACCTACAACATACAACACCTATATATACACACAAACACACATACATACATTCACAAATGCTTTCAAATAAAGAAAAGAAGATACCAAAACCTTCCTTACCAATAAGAACCAGGAACAACCTCAACTTAATTCCATGTCTTGGGGGAAGCCACTCAACCCTAGAATTACCACCACCACCACCACCACCACCCTGATCCACAACATAAAACTGCCCGTAATACCCCGAAAACACTTTTGCCCTATATATGTTGTCGCTCTTCGGGTTAGCCCTCAATGACAAGAAAATTAACCCAAGGATCAGCCACGCACCCTTTGGTTTGGTTTGCAGCCATAATCTGCACCATTGTAGCCATAGCTATGATCATTGTGAGCATCGTGGTGTTTTCCGGCTACATGATCGTCCATCCGAGGGTGCCTTTCATCACCGTCACCTCTGGTCATCTCGACAACTTTCAAAACACCGAGGCTGGTCTTCTTGAAACGGAGATCACCATTGTTGTAAGGGCAGAGAACGACAACACCAAAGCGCATGCAAGCTTTTCGGATACAAGCTTCATGCTGAGCTTCCAAGGGCTGAACGTTGCGAGGCTGGTGGCGTATCCGTTCGAAGTCAATAAAAATAGCTCGGTTGATTTCCATTACTTGGTGCAATCATCGTCAATTCCGCTGAGTCCGGAGCTGATGGATCAAGTGGACATTTCGTTGAAGCGGGACAGAATTGTTTTTAACTTGAAGGGGAATTTGAGGGCAAGGTGGAGAGTAGGGTTGCTTGGTTCAGTTAAGTTCTGGGGTCATTTGAATTGTCAGCTCAAGTTTCATCCTTCAAATGGAACTTACATACGCTCACCTTGCAGCTCAAGGGCAAAATAGTCAAAACATAGATCTATTGTCATCTTTCAATTTTTACGTACGCAAATTGAGTTCTTCTCCTTTCCTCCATTAAAATAATAGGCTTCATTTCAATTTTCAGGATTAGAAATATTGAAAAACAATTAATCGGTGATGTAGTCTCTCTCTTTTGCTTTTCCCTTCTTTGTATTCCTTTCTAAAATTTTCTCTTTCACGAAGGAAGAAGAAAGGGTTCGTTGTAATTTCAAAACCTACCTGGAAGCTCCTTTACGCAACCAATAAAAAACACTTATACGAAGCTTTCTGAAATCAAATGATGGCTTTGCTAATGTAGCTCTTAAATATGTTAACGCTAGTATTTCGGAACGTTTATTGAGAAGCTTTAGTCCCTTATCAACCGTGGAGGGCTAAGAGTGTTCACGATTATGTTTTAGCTCCCTAAAACATTATTTTTAGTGTCTAGTTTTGGTTACGTAGTTTTCATAGGACTATAATAGTTTGTTGTATTGGAAGCGATAATAAAGAGAGAGAAGGATATAGAAATTCCACACGGGCTCCACCAAAAGCTTTTGTCATATGACTAGGATTTGGATCCTATTCGGATTCAAATTGTGGGAATCCTAGCGATTCTCATATTTTAACCATTTATCATACATCATGCGACCATAAATTATTTTGAATTTTTTTATTTAAAATTAAACATAAATAGTACCTAACGAAAACTAACCACATGATATACGATGAACGGCCATAATGTGAAGATTCCTAGGATCCCTACAAAGAGGATCCGGAGAGAATCCTCATCCATATGACTAAATGTAGTTAGCTCGAAAATTACAGGTAGTCGACCTGAAAGCTACTTGTAACTGACCTTGTTTGCTAACGAGGATATAGCCCTTACTGGCCAATATATACTCTGAGGATGACCTTGGGCAATAAGAATTGAAGAAAAAAACAAATGAAGCTTTTAGTATTCAGTGATCAAATGACAAGCCATGACAATCGTGCAAATTGACAAGCCATTACAATTGTGCAAATTAAGCAAAAGAACAAGGTAAAGCTACCTAGAAGCAACTAAGAGCACTTTCAGTGTGTAAAGGTTTCATTTGGCAATAGGCAATTCAATCACCTCAAGAAATAGTAATCGCATTTAATGAATTGTAATTGTCTATTGCATCTCCACCCCTAAACTGAATAGCCAAAGCAATTCTGACACACCCCGACCGAGATCAGGGAGTGCTGGCCGTCACACGAAGGTGACGTAGCCATGTGCACGTGCGGAAGCTAATAGAACAGTAATATAAAAGTACGAATAAATAAAAACTAGCATACAAAGTCCTAGAACAGGTGCTAGCGAGATACAAATTCAGAGCGAGATTATAGCAGTCCAAAAGAAAAGTTGCGACAAAAGTACACCCGAAGGTGACCCTACGCTGGTGAGTATCTGTCAGAAAAGCTGGAAAAATCCTCTGGGAGACCACCGAAACTGCTACTCAACTAGAACCTGGAGGGGTGCAAAACAAATCTTTCTAAAACCATTTATAAAATACTTTCTAACCCCACGCCGTAAAACCTGTATACTTCCCAGAAAATATATATACGCAATACACATATGCCAAACATGCTCAAATAATATGCCATGCCGAAATCTCATAATGATATGCAAGTGCCCAGGTATAAACATATCAATATCATGTAATCTGGCAGCCGGAGTCACCTAACGTGACCTGTACGGCTGCATCTAGAGCTCAAATCTCAATCTCAATATCTAAACCTGCCCACGAGTGGGAACCACCTAAAGTGGTCTGTACGACAGGCCTGAGTGTTAATAAGTGATACGATCACGTGAAGACTGGGCGAAGAATCGCGGGTCACCTACAAGTCGGAACCACCTAAAGTGGTCTGTACGACAGCGCTGTGCACCTACCTTGAATCCAAGGTGAGTATAAGGTGCGGGAGGTGAACATCACGTGAAGGACTGTGCCCTGGCCACGGGCGGGAGCACTAACACCGGGGGTGCAGGTTATGAGCTCTCTAACTATCTCAAACCACTACTGAAACATAAACGTGAATAACGCTTACTTGGCACTTACCTGTGCGTCCACAGCACCCAATATGCATATGTATAAATATATGCAACTAATAACGTACCCTGATGAGTATATTTTATATTATATATTTTACCCTATTCTTAGTATATTTTGGTTAATAATTTGGAAGAATTTTGATACTTTGAATTATATTTCCAATATAGGATTTTCGACTTCCTCTGGAGCAAAACATGGCCAAATGGACGAATTTTGGAGTAATTCCAATTGGAGGACTTTCGTGAGTCACTTAGCTTGATCGTATCAAAATATCAGTTTTTTCTACCAAGCGATGATTTTCTGGTAATAAAATAAAGGAGCCATGCGCAGTGCTGGAATAGTGACGTGTTGGGCTTGAATTGCGTTTTTGGAGCCCAAGATGACCTCAGATGGGTTTGTGACCTTCTGGAGATGTGTTCCGAATGTTCTTATCTTTAAAACAAGCTATCTTGGGCCGGATTTGGAGGAGATTTGAGTCTAAAACGTGGCTGAACAGTTTCTGTACAGTTTTTCCTGGGTTAATTAGGAATTTACTTTCTATTTTATTTTATTATTATTTTATTTCTTAGTGGGAATAAAATACTTTAGGGTTAGGGTTTGTGTTTTAGCTTTGAGGGAGATATAAAAAGGGTTTGGCCGTTCTCATTGAAGAGGCTTTTTCTTTTATGCAACTTTTGGAGAGAAGATTTTGGGCAAAGTTTAGAGATTTTCAGATTTTATTCTACAAGGTGTTTTCATTCTTTTTCTATTTTCAATAAAGACTATGATTTTTAGTATGAATATGCGTAACTAATTCTTTTTGCTAGGGCGAGGCCATGATCCTTAGCAAGAATATGTAGTCTCTTTTTACTTTGCTTATGAATTTATGCATGCAGGTTTTGGAATGTTAATCACTGTGCTTTAAACTATCTATTTGTCTTAGTGATTCGCGACCATCAGGATATTTGGAAAAGTTACTTGATGCAATTTTGGCGGAGGATTGTCCCTAAAATTGACTAAAGCTTCTTGTGGTTAATATGTGTAACCTCTTAGGATGGACGACACGTTTTAAGGGTTATATAGTTTTTTTAAAAAGGTTTTCATAAAACTTAATGAGTCTTGCATGTTCACATTCGATCTGAACACCACGGACGGGTTGCATGTTAGATATACGTTCTATGTTGGAGGTTCCAAGTAAGATATACTCTAGGAAAACCTAACTTTCAAAACATACATGTATGGTTCATAAGTAATTTAGAAAAGCTACATAGGATTGTTAGTGTGACGGCGGAACCCTAGTACTTTCTCTCTTTGAATCCTAAAAATTGTTCCCCTTATCTTTCTTTAAAGTTGTGATTTTTAAGTAATCTTTTTAATTAAATTCGTTTTTCTTAGTTTAGGTCATTAAATCACCTCTTTCAAAAGAAAAACTTTGTTTTAATTAATTAGTTGAGAATTGATTTTGCTTTGATCTCTTTAAATTAATCCTTGTGGAGAACGACCTTGCTTGAGTCAATTATACTACAATAACCTTGTTTCTCTTGCAAGTATTTTAGGTGTTTTTAACCCTTTTACGCAGGTGGTAAAAATCCTATCATACCCAACGATGCACGAAAAACGATAATGTAATGCATGGCATAATGAATACATTTATTCAAGTTCTGGGAAAATATAGTATATAGCTATAAAAACGTTAACTTTAAAGCACATAACCAACTTCTCGTAATAACTTCTCATACATTGCTCAAAATGGACAAATGAATATACCAACGTGCTCTACACAACCTCAGGATCACAACCATATTTTTAGAATAATTTTCCTCCGCCGCACGCGCCCCCACGCGCCGGCCAAGGCACGGCCACACGCGCCGGCCACGCGCAGGCACGTGCGGTGCACACGGACGGCGTCAACTGACGCCGTTAGGAATATTCCGTCAGTTTTGACAGATTCCGTTAACGGCGTCAGGAATATTCCGTCAGACTTGACGGAATATTCCGTCACCTTCTCCGGCGAACCTCCGGTGAGGCTCCGGCGTCGTCGCCGGCGCCGGAAAACTGGGAAATTTTCTAACTTCGTTTTCTCACTCATTTCTCAACCATTTTCCATGATTCAAACGCCAAAATGAAGCTTAGACCTAGGAGAATCACGATAGACTACTTTTAAAGCCTAAAAATAACAGAATCATACCTGTCCCCAAACTCAAAAACCGGCCAAGTTAGAACAGGGCGATCCCGACGTCCACTTCCATCCAACTAAGTACTCCGAGGTTCCTTGGGACACCACCAAGCTACCTATGAACTTAGAAATACCAAAAACATGCTACAATAAGTTTGCATGAATAGTGCACAAATCGGAATACCTCGAACCGACGTGAAAACAGTGGTAACCTTACCTGAAAATGGTACGATCGTGCTCCTCTCAACCTCACGAGTTCAAAGGTATGATTGGTTCCCTCGATCTGCAAGCTTTGGTGTGGTTATGTGTGTGTCCGTACAGGTTTAAGGGAAAGGAAGGGAGCACGGGGAGGAGACAGGGAGAAAGACAGAGAGAGAGAGATAGGGACAGTGTATGTGTGTGTGTGTGGCCCAACACATGCCAACACCACACCAAATGACCAAGAACATGACGAAACAAACTAGGGGCAAAAACGTAATTTCGCACGTACGTTCGATAATGTCGGGACGGGATGTCACAAATTCGCATTAAAATATTAATATTTTTTATTTTATAAAATAATATTTTTTTTTAATTCAGATAGGATTTTAATTTAAATAAAATACCAAATTAAATAAATATGAAATTACATAAAGTACAAATTAAATAAATACGAAATTATATAAAGTACTATATTAAATAAATACAAATTACATAAAGTACCCAATGGTGTTATTAACTTAAAATTTTAAAATTATATATTCATAGAAGAAGATAGAAATTACATATTTATAGAAAACAAAATTATAATTTTGAATTTTTTCTGATTTTAAATTAATTTTTAAGTTTTTTATTAACTTAATTAATCTGGACTATTGGATTACAAAAAGATTGAAATCCAACAGTCTAGATTTTGATGCATAGCCTAACTGTAACA